ACCAATCACTTTTCTAGTTTCTATGCCTATCTTTCCTTTGCCTTATGGGTCTTCCTACTTCTAATTCATATTATCTCTATAAATCATATTCAAATATTAGAGTTAATTTTCAAAAATCCTTCTCTTTCTCTTTTGTCAACCTGAACTGTACATTTATTTTCAAATTATTCAGTAGGTTCTGAGGCTCCTTCCTCATTTGTCCATGATTTAATTTAAAGATGATCTCACTCAAGGCACAACCTAATTAACAAAATATATTTTAAGTTATTTTGGGGTAGTGTGATTGCTCTAAAATTTTATTTGATGTGTGGCTTTGTGTTTATAGCACCTTTGTGAAGTGCAAAACACTTGAAACACCTGCATTAATGTTCTCTGATGAAATAATAAGAATAAGTACAGACTCTTCCTTCCTTTCTTGGGATGACTTCTTGAGTTAGTTAATTTTGAAACTGTTGGAACCTATAAGTCACTTTTAAAGAAGTGAAACTTGTTCATTAAACTCTAGAAAGTCTTTATTTCAAAATAGAAAATGTGTTTTAAAATAGTTGTTATTTACATTATAAATTCAACTATTTTTGATTGCCTAAGGCAAGGGGTGGTCAACTAGCAGCAAAGCATTCTTTTTTTTCTTCTTCTGCTTCATTTTTTGGGTTCCAGGGAATGAACTCAGGAGCATTCAACCACTGAACTTTATTTTGTATTTTTATTTAGAGACAGGGTCTCACTGAGTTGCTTAGAGTCTCACTTTTGCTGAAGCTGGCTTTGAACTCGAGATCCTCCTGCCTAGGCTCCAAAACCACTGGGATTACAGGCATGTACCACCATACCCAGCCTGAAGCATTCTTATAGAAAATAATTTATATAATAAATAGCATTGGTCCTAGGATTAAAAGTGCTATCGCATCCTGAAAATGACCTGATAATAAAATTTAGTTCAATGTTTGAGACAACAAATTAAGTGTCAATATATTGAAAAGAATAGTATTATAGTTTTTCTCTGCTTTGTGAAATATCTCCTTTATCCTTGGCCTCATTGTAAACCAAAAAATCATTATGACTTGGCAAAAAAAAATTGAAATGGAAGACTACCTTTGGCATATGTTGAATTTCACATGACCCCTATGTGTCTGGAATGTAGCAGAGGTCAAGAAGTGCCACACAATTTTGTATTCTGAGAAATGAACACCCTGCTCTTATATATTCTAAGATAAGACTACTTCTCTGCTTTCTCAGAGAGAAGGTAGCACTTTTTCCTGCCTCTTTGAAACTCCTGGATCCCTTCCTTTTCTCTGAGATTTACTCATTAACATATGTCCTTCCTATTGCAACATCCTGAAGAAAAATCTTCTCCTTAAATAACTGGTGTGTTTCGTCTTTAAATTTCATTAAAAGAGAGAAAAGTGTCTAAGTGCCTTGTTATATTTAGGGAAATCAAATTGCAATTGGAAGGTGATATGACTTTGAAATTAGGCAAAACTTTATAGAATGAGAGAGTGTTTTAATGCAATGCTTACAGGGAAAGGAAAAGAGAAGGTGGCTCAGTTCCATAAGTGAGATAATTGGAGTAAAACATTGACAGCTTTGCCTAAGGCCCTGCTAGGAATTAACAGCTGCCCCAGGTACTGAACTGTAGTTGAAATAGCACCTTTCTATTGCTTCTTTGAGAATATTATTTGATTTCACTGGAATGTTTACCTTAACAATGATTAAAGAATTATATATAATTTGTTTCTTCATTAATCTCCATGTTAAAAAAATTAAACATGTACAGGGTGTGTGGATGTGTTTGTGTGTGTGTGATCTGAACAAGCTTATGAGTGGCATCATAAGAAAAGGTAGATATGAAGGCTAACCTATCTGCAAGGTCACAAATTATGATTTTTGTGGCAACTTATATGTAAACATTTGTATTCCCACTTAGTCTTCTATTTGAAACATGGCAAGGGCTTTGTAGAGGCAGCATCTGTTAAGGAAGGAAGAAGGCTGCTTTAATATCAGCATTTTATACAGT